TAGAATTTTAGAGCTAGATATTAACAACTGTTTCCTTTGTTGCTTTTGTGAGCATGTTCAAACTTTTAATCTTACCTCAGCCATGATATTTTTGAGCTGCAGAATACAAAGAAATTTAGCTCACCAAATACTTGCATTGGCTTTCAAAATGTTTATGGCAGCCTCTGCAGCTCTGTGTTTCGCCAGCTTCTTACTTGTACCTTCACCTGAATTAAGGTTAAAAAAAACCTCTTTACATGCTGTGAAAATGTGAGGCTTACATAGATGTTTGCATAATACAAAACAAAGTCACTACACATTTTATATATATACACACTAGGTAATAAAAACACACTTGCATACAGTTATACACTGAAATAAAATACCATATGAAGTCAATACATTACAAAATCCCTGTGATTTAAAAAACTATGTATTTTTGTATACCTGTATAAAAATCGTTATACAGGTATACATTATACATGCTTATTACATAAAGTAATAAAGTAGACTATGTCATACCTTCTGAAGAAATGCAACTTATTCCATTATTCTTAGAAAGGAAATTCTTTATAGCAAGAAGTTTCCTTTAAAGGAGCCACTTACAGCAACACCGTTTGACAGCAAAATGTGCACACTTTCACTGTAACAACCCCTCCTATATTGAATTAAACCCCTCTGCTTGGCTAAGCAGTCATGACTGCCTGTTGGATACAGTGGGGGAAGGTCTGTATAGGGAAGAAGTTGAGAGATTACCTTTAGCGTCTTCCATATAATCTGTATCCCTTACATGGGTAGCTAAGCGGGCAGAAGGGACTAGGCCTGACTAATCACTGAGACTGATGCCTAATTTTAGTAAGCGACCACACAAGTAAATTGTAAATTCAATCTTTTTCCTTCTGACTTCAAACTAGGTGTTGAGAACCTTTCCAAAGTGGTATCAGAATGCTGATCTCCATTCCTCCTGTGTGGAGGAAAGAAAAGGAACATGGAATAAATTTCAAGCATGGCTCTCAAGTGTCGGAGACCACATAAACCACACTTATTTACCCACTAACATAGGTATTAAGGATATACCCTTGACCAATGTGGGAGTTAGGGGCACCGACCCTCTGCACTGTTGAAAATCTACCCATAATTTATAGTCAGCCCTCTGTATCTTTAGTTCCTCCATTTCTAGCTTCCTTGGTAACTGCGGAATCAATCAACCATGGATTGTATGGTACTGTAGTATTTACTACTGAAAAAGATTCTCTTATGAGTGGACTGCGTAATTCAAAACAATGTTGTTCAAGGGTCAACCGTAGTAGAGAGCTAAGCAGGGTCCCTGCCCTTAAAGAGCATACAGCCTAATGTGTGAGATTCTGTCTATAAAAAGACATCTGGGGGCTTCCCTGGTGACGCAGTGGTTGAGAGTCCGCCTGCCGATGCAGGGGACACGGGTTCATGCCCCGTTCCGGGAAGATCCCACATGCCGCGGAGCGGCTGGGCCCGTGAGCCATGGCCGCTGAGCCTGCGCGTCCGGAGCCTGTGCTCCGCAGCGGGAGAGGCCACAACAGCGAGAGGCTCGTGTACCAAAAGAAAAAAAAAAAAGACGTCTGAAATGTGGAGTATCACAGCAGGCCTAAGTGCAGGTTGTAGGGTTAGCCTACAAAAGGGATAGCTCCCCTACTCTTGGTAAGGATTCAGAAAGGTTTCATGAAGGAGGAGATACCTAAACAAGGACCTGAAAGATGAGTAAAAGTTAGTGAGGTGACGAGAGCTGGGGGATTAGGAAGAGCACTGTAGGTGGAGAAAGTACTTGCAGAGCCTCAGAGGTAACACACAGCATGGTGTTCTCAGGCCCCAGCTGTAGGGGACAGTAAGAGCTTGAGGAAAGGAACTTTGAGGTAAAAGGCTAGAGAGCTGAAGGGTAGGAGAGGTCAAAGAACGGCCTCCTAAATTTGTGCTTATCAAACTTTAGGAATTGCCTGGGAATTTGGTTAGAATGCATACCAACAGTAGGTGTTGGATGGCGCCTGATATTCTGCACTTCTTTCAAGTGCCCAGGTGATAGCAATGCTGCTGTCGACCACATTTTGAGAAGGGTGTCAATGATGTTAAGAAATTTATATTCATCCAGAGGGTGATGGGAAAACCACTGAATGGCTTTTAAAAAGAGGAAGTACATGCACAGATTTGAATGCCAGAAAAAACACTCTGGTTTTTGTGTGGAAAATGGACACCACAAGATAGAAGCTAAAAGAGCAGCTATGAGGCTGCAACTATAATCCATGTGGCTCGGATAGTAGCAACAGAAAGATGAGAGAAGCAGACAGATTCAAGAGATATTTAGGAAGTAGGATTTGGGGGCAGACTGGACAATAGGCAGAGGGAGAAGAAGGGGTCAAGAAGGTGAAACCCAAATTTCTACTGTAAGCAGAAGGGTGATGGTGGTGCCTTTACTGAGCTGGGGAATGCAGGGGAAATGGATTTGAGAGAGAAGATGGATTCAGTTTGGGACAGTGAGAGACTGAGGTGTCTTTGGGTCATCCAAGCAAAAATGCCTAGCAAGCACAGGCAGATACACTGTTCTGTAACTGCACCTGGGCTGAAGACAGAGGTTTCAGAATTATCAGCCTTTAGATAGTATTTGAAGCCACGGAGGTAGAGAAGCTTGCACAGGAAGACAGGACAGTGTGAGAAGAGTAGGGGGACTAAGCAGTTGCCACAGGTTGTTAATCTCTGATCTAAAACACACTGAAGGGAAAAAGGCTACTTTTGAGTTTTCACTGAATATTTTAAAATAGACCAGCTAAAGCAGTAGTGCAAATGCTGATTCCATGGTTCATATGAGGAACCTTCTAGCTACAATCTAGCTACAATCCACCTGCCCCACATAGACAAAAAAGCTTCAAAATTTTCTTAAAGTGGCTTCAATGAAAATAGCGGACTCCAGATTTTCAGGGACACAAACAAATGATGCCTTCAGATTACCAGATGGTGGAACTTCAGCCTTCTTGCTGAATTTTTTTCTTGGCATTCTTCCAAATTAAATTTAGTATTCAATATTTTTTGTGTTTGCAATTAAATAGATACATAAGGAATAAAATGTCTGCGTTTACAAATGGGTTACTTCAGTTATCATTTGCTCAAGTTCAATGACCATAATAAGGTGAATCTTAATTTTGAAACTTCATTGCTGTGTGACCTTGGGCATGTTTCTTATAATCTCTCTGGACCTATTTCCTCATGTATAAAAAAGGTGATAACATCTTATTAAAATACTGTACAGTGCCAGGAACTAGAAGCTGCTATGCAATATAGTGTAGTTGAGCTTTCCGCCTTCCTCATTTTGCTTGGATACAGAACCGAGTGTGGTACAATGGGCCCAAAGTGCCAAATGAGTCCATACATAGAGGGGAGCAGCTCAGAAAATTCTGGGGTCATGCCTCCTGGCATCTGCTATAACCTATGAAATTTGACAGCACCTACTGATTCATCTATAGCTGCTCCAAGAGCCTTTCCTGCTTCTCCCTAATTCTTGGAAGATCCCTAGGAGGATCCTAGGGTATGTTTCTGAGCTTCTCTTGGTATCTGGGGAACAGAAAATTAGGGAGAGAATCAGGAAGTTGGAAAGTCCCAGTGACCTGAGAAAGGTATCAGTTTTAAGAGCCTGCTCCTCACCGTTGTCTCTGGTAAAAAGGGTACTTTTCCGAACTAAGAAGCAATACCAAGTCTTGACCCGCCAACCCACATGGTCATCGGGGTTCGTTGTGCATACAGACCTGTGCAGGTTATGTCACCAACGGTTACTCTGAAGGTGAAAGTGGGCACGTGTATTTGCACATCGGATCTTTCACATTCATAAACTGGGATGTTCTTGGTCTTCATGCCGTATTCATGTAATACCTGAATTGGTGTTTTCCCTGGCTTAGCTGTGATCATCTTCCCCAAACTGCAAAAACCAGAAAAAGCTGTGCTTTCCATGTCAAAGCGGGGAGGGAAGCAGAAGCAAATAAAGACTAGTTTTAACAGCCACCAACGGTGACGCCGGAGGCACCGAAGCTCCCCGTCGGCCGGGGCTAGAGCTGGCGAGGCGCGACAGTCTCCCGGCCCCGCTGCGGCGGGCGGCGGGCGGCGGGCAGGGTGAAGGAGGTCTTTAGGGAGACAACTTGAATGCGGGTAGGAGGGATTCGCGGGGGAACCGGGAGGTGCGCACGGGTGCTGCAACCTCCCGGGACCAAGCCTATAAACCCCTTTCCCAGGCGGCGGCCGAGAACCACCCCCGGCCACCCCGAGGCTCCCGAAGCCGCAGGAGGGGCGGGGCCGGGCCGTAGACCCCGGCCCGCTCGCCGCCGAGAGGGCGGGGCCGAGCGCCCGCTCGCAGCCGCGAGGACACGAGCGCCGGGAAGGGGCTTTACCCAGAATGCCGCTGGACAGCCGGCTCCCCCGCCCCCTCCTCTATTGCCCACCACTCCCGGCCCTGGCCCGCTCGGTCCCTACCGCCCGGGCGCTGACCTGAAGGTCCCGCTGTCCTCGCGCTCCAGCGGCGGAGCCGCGGCGCGATGCCTGCTCTGAGACATGGCCAGAAGGGACGGCTTTGCGGCGGGAGGAAGAGCAGTGTGGAGCGTCTTCGCTCCGCGGGTCGGTCGGTCCCCGAGAGGAGCGACCTAGAGCCGACGCCGCCACCTCCACCCCTCCTCCGACTCCCCTTCTCCTCCCCTCTTGCGTCCCTCCAGGGGATGGGCGGGGGGTGGAGGCGGAGCCTCTGTGCGGTAGCGCCGGTCCGGGCTCCCGGTCACGCCTCCTGCTGTCCCGGCTCGTGTAGAGCTCCTCGGCGGCCCCGCCCCGCTCGCTGCCCCGGCTCGTGCGCCGCCTTCGGCCCAGCGGCTAGTGGAGACCGCAGTTGTGTGTCCTCAAAAGGAGGCTGCTCCCTGCCCAGAGAGAGGCTTGTCGTCGGGCGGGCAAGCTTTAGCGACTGTGACGCCTGAAGCTCAGCCATTTTTTTTTGTTTGTTTTTGGAGAGGGTTGCGGGGGACGGGGAAGAGGAGTGGTGCGTCACTTTAAGAAAATGATTTCAAAATTCCAAATGCAAAATTGCCGGAGAGCCTCCCTAGGCCTGGGCCTGAAGCCTGAGACTCGCGGGATACCCGCTCCTGAGGGCTGAGGTGGGCTCCTGTCCTGGAGTCCTGATTTTAGGTGCTCGCGGGAACGTCCAGACACCCACTCCTCTCACCCCCGGGTGGGCTCCATTGTCTTCTAGGCTTTCATCGCCTGATGAGTGCTGGGCTAGCGGATCCCAGCAAGGCACGTTAGGTGTAAACGAAGGCTTTTCTGTGGACCCGATTCTAATTAAATGCTGTTTCTGCACACCTGTGTTGGTTGTAATGGCGTTTACTTGGGATGCACCACCTTTGGTGGGGATCAGACAGCGACATTAGATGTCGTATCGCTTCTAGGGGTTTTGCTTGCCAGTTGCAGGAATGACTCCTTGTGCTTTCTCGTTTCTGGAAGATTGCCTTGCACAGTGCTATTCACACGAAGGGTCCTTATTAGGAACTTTTTGTTTGTTGCTCTCGAACCCTGGGTACTTGAAAGCAAATGAAAAAGCTGTCCGGAGTCTAATCAAAGTGATTTACATTATTTGAGGCTTGAATTAAGCCTGTTTTTTCTTCCTCCCTCTACCCCCTCTATAGATGTTTGTATATCGATTACTATCCATTGCTGTTTCAATGAATATCTTATTTTAAGTACCACATAGCCACTATTTCAAAATTATGTTAACATCCACATAGCTATGACAGTACACTATTTCAGCACTCAGATTTGTTTCTAAGATTTACTTTCAGTCATAAAATTTCTTAAAAACAAGTCTAAACTTTATACAGCTCTCTTTAAAGGTTGAGTAACTGGATAGTAATGATGAAACAAAAAGAAAATAAATGCAGCAGTACTCTATTTCAGAGAGACACTATGTGCCAGCTTCATAAGAAACTCCTAAGTCAGAGTTCATGCAGTTACACATATGTAATATGGCTTTCATTTAGTATTTTATAAAGTTCTGCATACAATTGTTTCCTTATATTCTGTGAATTTATTTTTATATTAATCACTTGATTTTGTAAACATACAAGGAAAATGAATGAAATGTTCAAAGAATGAACTGTGTACCATAACACAGAAATAGTGCTTTTCTGTCGCCAAAATTGGCACAATGGACTTGTGAAGGAATTCCCTTTGGACTAGGTCCACTGTGGATGGCGTCCAGGGCTAATGCTAGTGGCTAACGTATTGTTCCCTGTAGGGCTATATGCTTCCTTCAAACCTGGCAAACCACTATCAGCTGTGACTGTCATCAAGGACATTGATAATATTTAAAGATTAGTAGTTTTCTGTGTATATTTTAGTGTTATAGACTGCAATTCCAAATTAGACTTGCTTTTAGTATATCATTTTACACCGTTAATCTATAATTCATTACCTGAGCACACCAGGGGAGGTAGTGTTGTAAATTGTACACTGGTAAGCTACTGAGTGAAACCATGCTTTGTATTTTTAACGTGTATAATTATATTTAAAATCAAGCAAGACTTAGTTTTATGCCTGATTTTTTTTGAAAACATGGATTTGTTATCTGAGGGTTGCAGTTCATGACTTTTTAATACTGTATTAATATGTTTGCTGCGGCTACCAAGAGCTTTGTCAAACAAGTTGGAGATGGAGGGAGATTAGTTCCTGTTCCAAGCCTCAGTGAGGCTGACAAATACCAACCTCTAAGTCTGGTGGTAAAAAAGAAGAGATGTTTTCTGTTTCCTAGATATAAATTTACTTCAACACCCTTTACACTGAAAGATATTCTTCTAGGAGACAGAGAAATTTCAGCTGGTAAGTTTAAATGTCTGTTTGGGAGTGACTACTCATTTAGCTATGTTATTGGTAATCTAAACATAGGTTGTCTGTGCTACCTGTGTTCGTAATATTTATGTATTTTCATTGATAAAAGCAACTCTTATTACTGTGACAGTAATAATATTGTTAACAATGCCTAACGTTTGTATAGTGTCAAATCTCTTATTGGTTGAATAATTTCAAATGTATTTTATAAGATTATTTATTGTATAATTTAATTTCAGTTATTTTATAAATTGTTTTAACCAAATCAACTTAGAATATGACATAATAGTATATTTCTTCATCTATAAAATGGGGGTGTTATTCAGTCTTGCCTATCTCACATGGTTAAATGTGATGAAAGTAATTTGTATTTATTTTTTGATTCATTTACTACGGTTGGTAAGCTGAAATGTATTAACAGGCTAATATTAACATTTTAACAAATTTTTCTTATAAACACTTGTTTTTCTTTCAGCTAGCCAGTGGATCTTGATGCTTAAGTATGCTGTTGGCTGGAAGAGAATTTGAGTTCATTTAAAGTACTCTGGATATTTATTTTCTCTTGTTGTCAGATTAATTGAATTGCTCTTTTTAATCTTCGTTTAAGATGTTGCCATTCTCACCATTTGGGTAATCAAGTCTTAAATGGTAAATTAATGTGCTACTATACATATTTACATTAGATGAATTCAAGACATTTAAAATATTGATTTCCTTTTCTTAAAGGTGTTTCATCTTATCAGTTACTGAATTATGAAGATGAATCAGACGTTTCACTGTATGGAAGGCGAGGCAACCATATTGTGAACGACGTTGGGATTAACGTTACTGGATCAGATTCAGTTGCAGTAAAAGCTTCATTTGGTGTAGTAACCAAACATGAAGTGGAAGTATCAACATTACTCAAGGAAATTACTACGCGGTCAGTATAATACTTCCATGTTTTTATTAAATATTTTAATTATATAAACTTCATTACAAAGAGTGCTTAAAACGTTCAGGTTATATTTTACTAGAGTAATTTGTTTGATTTATTTGAAATACTGCAATTAGTAATATGTCCAAGCTTTGGATAAGTGTAGATATCTGGAATCATTTGGTTTAAAAAATATTTAATTGCTCTGCAAAATCACTTTGGCTCTGCCGCATTTGCTAAATTATAAGATTACAAGACTTCAAGAATCTGCTTGCATCAAATACACTAAGAGAGTCTCTTCCAACAGACTCCTATAGTATGCATGTTTTAACAAAGTAGGAAGGAGAGGCAGATTATTAAATTTCTTTTGAGCACACCTTCTGATTTGTATTAGGACTGCCTTGATTTACTTTTAATTAAGGTGGATCGTGAATAGTAACACATGATAATCAAAAAAATGTACTTGATTATACATAGTTAGATGTTACAGATTCTTGTGAATGTCTGTCTTCTTGATTTTAGAAAAATTAATTTTGACCACAGTTTGGTACGTCAGTCAAGGAGCAGCAGAAAGGCAGTATTGTGTGTGGTCATGGAAAGCATCCGAACCACACGACAGTGCTCACTGTCTGTGCACGCTGGAATTCGTGGGGAATCCATGAGGGTAAACCATTAGACTCATTAGACTTCTCTTACTAAAAAGCTGCAATGGGAATTTTTTAAGTATTCAGTTTCTAATGAGCCTTGTGCATTTTGTCAAATGTTGAGATTAAAAAGCTGCAACTGTATATAGGATTTTGCACACCAATGGTTTTGTTTTAGAATATGAAAAAAAATCCAAGAAAATTTGAATTATAAACATGTAAAATAATGTTGGAAAGCACTAATCCTTGTGAAATAATGTGCACAATGGAGTCCCTCATATTACTATTATGCTGTTTTAAGAATACAGATTGAGTGGTTATGTTAAGTTCTTTGATTTTATTTTTAAGTGATATGGTTTTTACTTGAATTTTTAAAAGTTGAGTTTATATTTTTATATTAAATTAATTTTTCTAAAATAATATTGTTAATGGCCAAACATGCTTCATTCAATGTTAAGTTCTTTTAAAAATGTTGAAAGAGGGGCTTCCCTGGTGGTGCAGTGGTTGAGAGTCCACCTGCCAATGCAGGGGACACGGGTTCGTGCCCCAGTCTGGGAAGATCCCACATGCCGTGGAGCGGCTGGGCCCGTGAGCCATGGCCACTGAGCCTGCACGTCCAGAGCCTGTGCTCTGCAATGGGAGAGGCCACAAAAGTGAGAGGCCTGCGTACCGCAAAAAATAAAAAATAAAAAATAAAAAATGTTGAAAGCTATTTGTGTTTAATTTTTAGCTCAATTATGGTATTATTTGTCCTTGTCATTCACCTAATAATGACGCATAATAATGACTTGATTTGTTTTATTAAAATTAATTATTAGAAAGATAGGGTACAATGATAATTGTTTCAAATCTTTGCAAATGAAGGTTCTGTTCAGTGGCTACATTTAGGTGCCCACCAAATTGTTTAACATTGGATCATTTTGGGGGCATGAACTGAGCGAAACATTTACTTAATTGTTGGTAATTGCTTTGGAACAGTGGACAGAATAGGCTAAAAACAACTGTAGCACTTAAAGGCAGTTGGTTTGCAGTTGAAAGAAAAAGGTTTCTATGTCAGAGAGCATTACCCATGTGGTAGCACTAATCATTGGCTCTGATACAAAGTAAATGAGAAAATAGTGAGAGGTATTTCCTAATATAGATCACAAGTCTCCAATGGATCATTAATTTGGACCTCTGCTAGAAACAGTTGAATTCAAGTAGGAGCATTCTTTGCTTGTAGGGGTGGGGATGTTTGTTTTTGGTAGGATTGTAGGGAATGTTTTGTTTCTCCAAAAATATATCCTTATGTGTTGTGCTCCTTAACCATGTTATTTAATTTATTTAATATAGTTTCATTTTATGGATGAACAGAATCCCAGGGGAAGGGACAAAGCTATTGTTTTTCCAGCACACACAACCATAGCTTTCAGTGTTTTCGAGCTCTTCATTTACTTGGATGGTGCCTTTGGTGAGTGATTTGCATGAAACACCGAAATGATTATATTTTTAAAGAAGGATTTAATGAGAATGTCTGTCTCTTTCTGAGTGTCTAATAATAGAAGAGTGCTGCTCTCAAGTACTGTCAATATTATGTTTGGGTGAAGTAACTGGGAAAGACCCTCCAGTCCTTACTTACTCATTACCTCATCCCTGTTTCTTGGGGAAGGCTGTAGTCTTCCCACCACCCACTTAGAATTATAGCTAAGAGTGAGAACACAATCCACTGACAGTATTTCGTTGACTTATATGGGAAAATAAAAAATTATCGTCTAATAGGTAGCTTTTGATGATGGCAAATAGACTAGGTAGACAGTAAGATGTCGAAGGTGTCAAGGCATCCAAACTAGGGTACCCAAAGACAACCTTTCTTCCGGTTTTCCTTTCATAGACCCAGCTCCCCCAACTCCAGACTCTCCCTAAAACCTTAAAGTTACAAATAATTCCCTAAAATTGTCACCTTATATAATACTGCAGTGCAGCTCAGTTTAAATTTCTACATTTCACAGGTTTTAAGATTATTAGACCAGCCAGCTCAAGTCTAGGTGTAGCCCAAAGGAATAGGCAAGGGAGCCCCTTAGCCATGGTGATTTATGAACATTTTTAGACCTGTTTTTGTTTCTGCAGTTCTGTCGGAGGAGGGAATAGGGAGTCCAGAAACAAATCATACTAATTAAATTCTATCTGGGACACTAAAGGGTGTAGGTTTTTTGTAAAAAAAAGATGTATTTATTTATTTTTTTGGCTGCATCGGGTCTTGGTTGCAGCATGTGGGATCTTCGTTGAGGCATGTGGGATCTTTGTTGGGGCACACGAGATCTTTCGTTGTGGCACGCGGGCTCTTCGTGTCAGCACGCGGGCTTCTCTCTAGTTGTGGCCTGCGGGTTTTCTCTTCTCTAGTTGTGGCATGCAGGCTCCAGGGCACGTGGGCTCTGTAGTTGTGGCGCTCGGGTTCCAGAGTGCATGGGCAACTAGAGTTTGCCGCACGCAGGCTCTCTAGTTGAGGTGTGCAAGCTCAGTAGTTGTGGCTCGTGGGCTTAGTTGCTCCGCAGCATGTGGGATCTTAGTTCCTTGACCAGGGATCAAACCTGTGTCCCCTGTGTTGCAAGGCGGATTCTTTACCACTGGACCACCAGGGAAGTCCAAGGGTGTAGGTTTTTACAATAATATTGATCACTAGAAGTGTAAACTGATAGAACTGATATGTCCATCAAAATTTTAAATTACATATATTTTAGCCTTATTTACACTTTTAGGAATTTATCCTATAGATATACATATATGAAATGATGTGGGTATAAGGATAGTCAGTTCATAATAGCAAAAGATTGGAAATAACCTTAAGGTATATTATTAGAAGCTAGTTGAATAATGGTGCATCCACACAATAGAATACTGTGAAGCCATTAGGAATTATGTAGCACTGAAGATCCTGACATGGAATAATCTCTATGATATTTTAAAGAAATGTGTATCTATTTGAGCCTAAACAATTATATATATATACATACTTACATACATATATACATATTCTTTATGCATGTAAAATATATGGAGTATTTCTGGAAGTACACACAACAGTAGTTACCCTGGGGTATATAACTGAGGCTGGGGTCAACGTAGAGACTTGTCACCGTATCCTCTTTTTGTACTCTTTGAATTTTGTACCATGTAAATGTTACCTTTTCTAAAAATATGTAAAATTTAACTTAAAAAAATAAAATGAATGGCACATACCAGAATTCAACCACAATTAAAACTCCCAATGAAATATGAGTTGTTCGGGCTTCCCTGATGGCGCAGTGGTTGAGAGTCTGCCTGCCAATGCAGGGGACACGGGTTCGTGCCCCGGTCCCGGAAGATCCCACATGCCGCAGAGCAGCTGGGCCCAGGAGCCATGGCTGCTGAGCCTGTGCATCCGGAGCACCCCACAACGGGAGAGGCCACAACAGTGAGAGGCCCGCGTACCACAAAAAAAAAAAAAAAAAAAAAAAAAAAAAAAAAAAAAAAAAAAAA